AGCTTGGTTTGAGGGCGTGCCTGACCCCGCTAGCCATTTGACAACCTTTATGATGCGTTTTCATTGTGACGTCACAAGTAAAGGAAGTGAAGGGCTGGACTACAAACGAGCTGTTTTCAAGCGGTTCAGAGCAGAGCTTTCTGTGGGAGATGGGAACTCCCTTTGGGCTGGACTTTGGGCTTTTTCACTTTGCAAACCTGTTACATGTACAAAAAAGATATATAACTCAATAAAGGAGAGGGAAAAAGACAAAAAGCATAATACACCTCTTTAATGGAACCTGGCTTCTTTTTGCAACCAGCAGAATCGCCATCTGCTGACCGTTATAGAGAATGCAGGTTTAAGTTCCGTCTGCATGGTTTCACTTTCAGACCCTGAGGTTGCCGCTTGATTGAGATTAGAGAAATAACATTTGACAACCACTTGTCATGTATCTACAAATCTGGATAGCAACTGCAGGATGTTGAGTTTCTAATATATTTTGCCAGTGAGTTGCTAATTCATTTGTCCCGATGATGTCTGTCGAATACTAACTTCACCACGGTCCCTTCTTTCACACTTGCCGTGTTGCAAGGAAGAAATTTGCATTTAGGTTAAACAAACATGGAGGAGAGTGAAGTTTAACAACTCAAAATCTACTCGCAGACATATATCCGTAAAGTTTTGAATTTGCGATGAATTGTAAACATAGACATTTTTCTATCATCAAACGATAATTGTCATATTGCACGCCCTAGTCTTTGTTTTGTGATTATTTATCATCTTTCAAATGATTCTAACAAACGTGAAAACCAGTCCTGTCTATGCAGAAAATTACAATCTTGTGTAGGCTTGCTTATCATAAAGCACCCGTGACAAGACCAAGGCCTTTGCACATCAGGTCCATATTTTTCGTATGTGCTTGCAAAAATAACACTGAGTCCAATGCGTCTTATTGTATTTGTTGTGTAAATACACTGTAAGACACACAATGAGGTCATCAAGCAGAGAGGATGACTTTGTGTACACCTTTTGCTGTGTCTCTCGCTCCTTCTCTCTCCTCCCTGCTTCCTGTGTGTGCAAAGACCTTAACTCACATTGTCAATACTGATACTTTGTAACACATCCACAAGCAGCAATCTCAGACTTGGCTTTGTTCAAGCCTTCTCTTGTGCTGGAAGTCACCTGCTGTGTGGGTATTCAAAGGAGAAATAAGTGGACCGGCCTGTTCCTTGTGTTTCTTGTGTGTATCTAGTTTTTTTTTCTCCATATCAGCGGGTGGACCAGACAAAATATTTAAGCATTTATACACTAACACATGATATGAACACAAGAATAGAAGAACATTTGTGTGTGTGTGTGTGTGTGTGTGTGTGTGTGTGTGTGTGTGTGTGTGTGTGTGTATACAAATCGCAGCTGTGCGGTACTGACTCAACACACAGGGTGCACGCAGCATTTATGCATTTAACACAACCACCCAGGAGGTTATCAAGCTTGTTTTAACCATAATCCAGCTGTTGTGCTCTTTCCTAATTGCATAAGAAATTCTCAGGCAGGTATATTTTTCAAATATAATGCTAAAATATCAAACTGTGGGGCGCTAAAATAAACCTGTTTCCCCTGCCGCACAAACATATTGATACATTCAGACATATGCAAGGCCACATATACTTTTAGAATACATGCCAATATATTGTGTTCTGGAAGAATGTATTACAAAGTATACATGATTACCAAATCTCTGATTTATTTTCAGATATATAGTTTAAATGATATCTTATAGCTGTAAATATAGCATTAATTTTTATATTATGCAGTACATTGTAAATATAGAGCATGCCAATAAAGCCCCATTGACAGTGAATATAGTATATTTACTGGACATGTAATACAGAGCCAACCTGAAAAAAATGTTGTATACTTGTTTTTCTGAGAAATAGTTTTTTTTTGTTGTTTTTTTTTACAAAATCTAAGACTAATTTAAACATACTGGTGCTGAACTTTTGCCTTGGGTCATAAGCAACATTTTGATTCAGAAACTGTCCGAGCCTTTCCTCCCCACTGCACCTGAGATCTGCAGCCTGGTTCAGCAATTCACCATATCAGAGTCCATGGCTGCTGCTGCTGTAGATGTGATAAGTCAGTCTAGCAAGACTGTCTGGATGTTTCTGCCTTGTTGGTTTCAGAGTACATTGTGAGACTGAAATGAGATGTGCTCACTGTGCATACTGTCAATCTGCCCTCTGGCATATCTGTTGTTTGGGTGGAATCCAAACTTTAAATGTGTGTATTACTCAGTAGTAATGCTTTCCTAATTCATGAGCAGTACATTCATTTTCTTACAATTTGATTTTGATAGATTTAAAACAAATCACTGCCTTTCTAATCTATGTAACAGGATTTGCAACTACATATGCTGTCCACACATAGATGAATCTAAAAACACCATTTACTTCCACACATCTGTGTCCACGCTGAAATGCCAAAACAGCAGGACAACTGATCCTCTATTACTCTGCTGTAGTTTAAACTTTCGTTCTGTAAGCCTCCTACTCTCCAGTGATTACTCATAATGTGTTTTGTTAAAACTGCACATACATTTCGTTCTCACCGACAGTTTCTCTGTTTCTGCACTGTCAGACAACTGAACACATATTTGATTGCGGCTCATAAATGTTACACAATCACCTTGCCCTGAGCTGTTTGCAAGGTGTGGGAAGCCAGTGATGCCAAGTAAGGTGGACAGAAATCCCTGGAGGGAGAAGGGGAGGGTAAAGTAGTTGCATCATAGGTTTTGTATTGGTACACTACTACAGTTCATGTGCACATGCAGTCAGAAGACCCTAAACCCCCTTTATTTTGTTGAATACAAAAAAGGATAATTTCTGTGTCATAGGAGTATACATACAAATTTTTTTAATACAATTAAATTACATTTTTACAGTTGTTGCTTTTGATATATATGTGAACATGTTTACATATATACATATTTTATTTACCTTTTATGCTTTTCTACTATAACAAAGTCGGTAATTTGTGATATATGGAATATAGTGACATTCATGTACCTGGTTTTAGTTCATACTGACTAGTGTCATGACTGCAATGTCTAAATAACGTGGTTTAGGTTTACACACAAAACGATGCCAATGAAATGCGATGCATAACAGGTTAATTTTGTTCATTGCAGGACTAGTAATATTTGGTTCCGTGCTGTACCTCGAGCAAATTCAAATCTGAACAACCAGTAGTGATTAAATAACTGCTCCTGTACCAGATCCAACTGGCTCTGTTTTCATGTTGTGTCATTTCCCCCTCCTACTGATTTCCACCTGCTTTGAAGGATGCGCTTGGGGATTTTTCTTCCTGTAGTAACCGTACCTGTTTTCTAACCAAACTGCATGGGGATGTATGTGCTGATCACAAGGCTCTTCCTGTGCACATTAGAGCATGGATATAATGCTATGATGTGTTGTTTAATACACACTGGGAAATTACTTACTAAGGAGTAAGGAAAACTGCAATCTATGAACTTTTGCGAGCAGTATGATTAGCATTAATATTGTTAGCTATACTGTGTTACGTGTGTATATAAAGTAAAGCTCAGTTGGTCCATGGTGTCACCAGTTATACAAATTCAGTGTCTTGTCTTCATACTGACATGCCTTCTGAGTGTTTCCTGGCTATGTTACATTTAAAACATTTAAAAAGCAGCCTAAGGGTGTTTTGTTGGATAGCACAACCAGGCCGGAGGTACGGCTACCAGGTGAAAACCTTGCACGTCTTCTCTGTTGCACTGTATGTATTGAAGTGGTGTCTTCTTTATTTGTCTTGTGCTCTGTTTTTATTGGCCTGTAAAGCACTTCATGATGCTTTCTCTAGAAAGGTTCTATATAATGTATTTAATTACAGTACATACTTGCTCTCTAACAAACTCATTGGAGCCTCTCTGCTCTTGGCAACATGTGACACCAGCTGCTTGCATTTGCAGATGAATCTGCCCTCTCAAGATAGATAGAGTGAAATCTGTCATTTTGCAAGAATCGGCATTGGCTGATACCTGCACTCAAGAGGCTGATGTATCATCCTAAATGACAGCAGATGTAATCTGAAAACATTCCTGCCTAGTGTTAAATATATATTGTTATTAGGGGTGTGGAAAATAATTAATTTTTAGATGCATCGCGATGCGGACTTGGATGATTATGAATTGATTCACAAATGTCAATAATCGATTATCTAGAGGTTAATTGATAACGTAATGTTTTGTTTTAGAGAGAATGTTGATTTAGTTAATGATACCTTAGGATAGTGTAGTTTGTTTTGCTGTTGTAATACAAAGTACTTAACAGTGATAGTTACAATTTGAAGGACAGCTATTTTTCACAATTTGATGACAAACAGTGTAACTGTCTAGACACCTTTTTGGTGACAACACAGAGCAGAGCCTTTGCACTGGTGTACAAAGCCAGGAGCACACAGGTCATGCTCCTCACCTGTGCTTGCACTGATGTTTTGCTTTGAACTTGACTTCCCTGAGGTGGGAGGAGAAGAACAGTAGAGGGTGTGTCAGCAATCATCAAGCGTCAAAATACCCTTCTTTCAAATCCGCTCACCCGTTATAAACGTATTTGACATTGCACCACCTGCCTGCTTATACCACCAGTAGCACAAGTCCCTGCATCTTCTGTGCAGCCACAGCTGATTCACGTAATAAAACGTCTTTATTTTTGTTGATCAAGTTGACCAAGGAACAAGTCAAAGCAGTAAAAAAGAGGTGAAAGGACTAAATATATGCCCTCCTTTACCGTTTGTAATTGTATTGTAGGAAACATTTCAAGGTCAGATGATAGTAGTATATCCATCACAGTGTAGTGTAGTTGAAGTACTTCAAGTGTTGATTGGATGTTGTCTTTCACACTTACAGTACACCACAATCACTGTTTTGCCTATATTGTGCTGATATATAATGATATTATTGTAGTCTTCTGTACACTTCCTTAACTACCTGATGTCATCAGACTGGGCCGACCCGGAGTGGACTGCTACTGTCAGCACGAGAGCGGAGCCGCTGTCCTTCAACTGCAGTTCCTCATCAATGAGGTAAGCCAGACTCTATTAAAGCAAAGCCACTCTTGTCACACTTTGCAGGCTTGAAGTCACCACAGTGGGTCCTAATGTCTTGTTCTTGAGACGCCCTGTGGGGCTTTTAAATGTAGCTGTTAATGTAGATTTGCATATTAAAATTAGTGAATTTATTTCTGGTCTGCGTTAGAATTTTTACAGTGTAAATTAATGAATCAAACAGGAAATGTGTTTGCGAAAACTGTATTGCCAGTAAATCCAAAAATGTGAGGGAATCAAGATCACTGAAAACAACATTGCTAAAGTTGAATCAGTAGAAAAGAGATCAGTTCACATGTTGGAAAACACTGTGTGTGTGGGAAAAGAAACCTTGGGTCAAAACGCATTATTGCACGAATGATGAATTCAGAATCAGAAACCGCTTTATTGCCAAGTAGTTTTTACACATACAAGGAATTTGCTTTGGTGACTAGGTGCGTTGCAATAGACATAATTCAGATGTTATTGTTCTTGGCTGTGGATGTTTTCAAATTCAATGGATTAATTCATTTTTTGGTACCTATGGAAACAAACGTAAAGGGAGAGTAAGACATTTGGCAGAAGGATTGTTGATATTTGAACCTTAACTGACAAACAAATATACCCTCCCTTCAATGCTCCTGCAGAAGCTCTCCCCCAAAATTTCAAATCTTTTGAGGTTTCTCCAGCATTGAAACTCCTTTGCCCTTGCCTGGTCATGTAACTTTCTTCTCTGTTTTTACTCTTCAGGGCTTTTTTTCTTTGGCTGTCTTTTTCTTCACAGTGTCTGGAGTCTTGCACTTTCGAATGTGTCTCCCCCCATCTCAAGTAGTATGCAGCTGCAGTACCGGAGGCTGCATTTTCAGGATCTCAGTCCTAGGACCAGAACTGCATTTGTAGGAATCTTGTTTTGATTGAAACAATCTAGCTAGCTAACTAGCTGGTAACTATGTTACCCCCCCCCCCCCCGAAGCCTATTACCCTTACCCTATTACCCTTACCCTAACCATCTGATGATTATACGCATGCCGACCACCAATCCACTAGATGGCGCTGTCACAAAAGAACTATGTTCCTAGAAATGCGCTCCCAGGACTGCGGGGGTCCCTAAAATACAGCCTCTGATACTGCAGCTACATAATATTGCCCATCTCTCCTATTCACGAACATTAATGCTACCTGTTGCTGATTGGCTTGAACAACGTTGTGAGGCAAGGTCCACACCGCTTTCCTTGTTTTCCATTTACAGACCCAGGGCTGTGTAGGAAAACCGCGAGGAAATATTTGCTGAATTTAACAAAAAGTGTATTCGATTACAATAACTTGCTACGCCTTTAATAGTCTTTTTTACAGAAATCCAAGTCTGGGAAAATACACATTGACATTTTTGTATAACGTTTGCATACAGTTTTTCATTCCTGGGCCATTAAGCATCCTATCCTATTGTATGGAGTTTTCTAAATCACTTAATAACCCTCAGTTGTTCCATGTAGGGGTCCTGATGTACCTGTAGTCAAACATCAGGAGATTAAACCCTATGAAGATGAGCTATTTAAATCAAGGATTGTTATGATTATCACTTACTCTCTTCTTTTTCCCCTCAATGATCACTTTTGTACTAACAGACCAGTACTGTGTGGGCTGACACATGGCAGTGCTCTGCATCTTTTTTAGGACTTAAACAGCAGCTTTGTCATCTTTGTCCGTGTGCTGCAGTTTGATGCCATGTTTTGTTTACTCACAAAAAACTATGGTCGTATTAGAGAAAAAGGGGCCCTCTAAAGAGCAGAAGCCGAGTCGTGCAGGTCTTACTATTTCTTGTTTCTCCTTTATTCTGCTTTAATCTACACTCTCTTCCTGCCTCTCTCTGCTTTTTTTTCCTTTACCCACTCCATTTCTTTTTAAGCCCACTGGCTCTTCCAGCCCACTTCTCCATCACTCATTGGCCTACTTGTGATGTGTCGGAGGCAAATGGAGGTGGATGGGCCTGAAGAGGGGTGTGCGTGTGTTTGTGTGACAGGTATTGACTGTGTATGTGTGTGTGTGGCTCTAAGTATGTAAGTAAGTATGTGTAAGAGTATCTCAACAGTGTGTATCTGGTTGTGAGCCTGCCTACAATTCGCAGCTTCAAGTGTGTCTTGTTTAGTTGGTGGGTTTGTAAAAGACTGTGTGCCATATTTGCTTGTCGGATATGTATATATTTTAACTTTATTGCTTCTGCATATAGTGCACACGTGTGAGAACACACTCTCCACTGGTCTCTCTTATATGAACGAACACTCACACCCACTACTGTAGGTCTTCTCGTGGTTGGAAAGAGTGACTAATAGCGGTGCGTGGGCTGTCGGCCACCCTGCTAATGGCTGACCGGTATTTTCAGACCGACCTCTTGACATTCAGTGAGGTGTAATGAATTCCTATTAGACGTACGCAGCCACAAAAGGGGCCACTTCATGCAGCTACCTGTGAATGAAGAGCTATGTAAAAGGTATCTATTATCTCTATCACACAGAAATCACACAATTTAACACATCTAGTTGTCACCATTTTATTATGTAGTTATAGTTTTATACCATGTCATCCTCGTAAGCCTGTCCCTATTTTATGATGAGATTTTTCTTTCTGTGACTCTTGTCGGTGGAGGGTATGATGAAGAGGCTAATGAATGTGTTTGTTTGCTTATTCTGAATTCATTATTTTGCTTGATGAATAATACATCTGAAGAGGGGGAGGGGGCTGCTGAAGGTTGGTGTCAGATGAGGTAGATGGGTTGGCGTTGGAGGGGGGAGACTGCTTAGGGAAGGAAAAGGTGAGAAAGATTATAGTGCAGTACTGAGGGCTGGATTGAAGCATGGGTCCGCAGGATAACTGTAAAGATGATTACTTGTAAACAAGAAATGTAGTATTTTATTTTGCAGTAAATGTACTTCCTAAAACAAATCTCCTGAAATGTTGAGATAATTGATTGTAGTTACAAAGTAAAACGTGTTTTGTAGAGTTTGTTTTTATCTATCTATACGGCCTTTTCATCAGTCGGACTACACTGGTACGCAAACATCAAAAAGAATGTGATATTACTGATTTCAAATTAAATAATGAAAGGGCAAGAAATTAGGTGATCCAAGCACTTTGCCATCTGCTGCATTAATCATGTACAAAGCAACAGAGACCAATGTTTAAAGAAAATTCAAACTTTCCATTCCTCTGAACACATACACTGATTGGTTTTTATCAGCCTCCTTTTCCTCAAAATTGGGAAACCGAGGCTAATAAGACCAGAAACGTCTCCATACTAATAAGCTGTTTCTTAAAATCAGTGTTAAACTTTGTTTCTCTTTATGAGCATGGAGATGTGGAAAGGACATGAGGGGTAGCAGGAGAAGGACAGACAGATGTTAACACATCCAGGCAGCCAGACACACGTCATTAACCTTTGATATGACCCAAAATGACCTGAGAACTAAATCAGCTCATAGCATTTGATGAACCAACAAGAAGCTTTTCTTAACTGCTGCTTTTTCTTGCTTTTTCTTGTGAAATGAGTGTGAATGAATAAAGTGCTATTAAGTATCAAGTCCATAACGTACAGTAAGATGTGTATTGAAAGCTGTCAGGCAGATACTGTACTACAGATACTTTCAACTTTGGAGAACTTTGGTTTCATGCAACAAAAAGACCTGACTTTGTCACACACTGGCTGACATATTGATTAATTAACCAGTGATACATCCTCAGATGCACACAGTGCCAAAGACAGTGATTCCATTGACTATGTGGTTTAAGCAATATTAATTATATTTCTCTTTTTGTAGGTTTATAGAGAAATGTAAGGGGGGCTATCAGTTTACTAGACCACAAACCCTATGTTCTGTTAACATAATTACATGTGAATGCACCTAAAGCTATTTTCTAGATGTAGCGATTGTCTGGTGGCCTGCTGATTGTCATTTTATCCATGCCGTGTACTCTACCTGCACCTGGTCACCTCACCTGTGTTGTGATCGAGACATCAAAATAATCATACAATAATGGCGGCGCGGACCCAGCTCTCTCACCCTGTCTTCCTCCTACATTCTCTTTTCTTTCTGTCTGGTATGATTTCTTCATTAGCTGCTGCTCCTCCTCCTCTCACTCCTTCAGGCAACAGAAACAAACTCCATCAGTATAGGAAAGAATCGTCAAAATTATCTTTTGACGGCTGTGGAGTAATAAGCGGTGCTATGGAACTGACAGAAATGATTATCGAATGCAATGTTAAGTAGTGATAGCAATTCTGTGTTGTATTATCTCTGTTTAGGTCCATAACAGCAGCTCTCAGCTGAGTTAGATTTATCTCTGTAATCCTCTATGTGTATTGTGTAAACTTTAGTCAGGTTGGCACATGGCTGACTCATTAAATGTTTTTCATTAATCTGTTTAGTGTAAGCCAGTCCATTTTAATGACCACTTTGACAGATTCCCTTCACATAAAAAAGAATAAATCGATAGTGTCAGTACACTATTATGTAAGTAGAAGAGTTGCAGCAGCAAGGATGCAAATACTATCTTGCTAAATTGTGCAGTGAGACTTATTATGTGAAATGACAATAAGACAAAGGCAACTATATACCACCCAAAAATACACAAATAACATCAAGTCAGTTATTGCTTCGTCATGTCCAAGACAGTTAAAGAAAAGCTCTAAAAACAATAATGAGACTAACCAACACACACTCAGACTTTCTATAAGAAATGGAAACACTAACCCAATAAACAGACCGTAAAATACTGTCTACAGTGGCTTTAAAATATCCTGTATCTAAATACATTTCATACATTTGTTCAAATTACTTTAATGTCAGGCTGCTGTTTTAGTATCTGGGCAAAGTAGAGCAGAAATTCAAGAAACCACCAGCATAAAGCAGTTTAAAACAAATCACTGCATTTTGATGCAACTATATTACATTACAAAATCAGAGTGAAGCTGATTGAGATAAATAAATAAAAAGTAATCAAATCCTGTATCAGACTTTCTAATTTCCTCAAAGTGCCAGGTAATCTTCAGCGCATCCTTCATCAGTCAAATGTGACATGGCTAAGGAGCAATATCCCCCCTTTTTATGTATGGAGAGAGGGGGGCGTCTAATAAAATAGGAGGCAGTAGGCAGAAAGATAATTATGTTCATTAAATTTTTCTTTCCTGTTGAACGAATTTAAGAAGATCAATTATTTGTCTCATAAACAAAGCTTCATTGCTCATTTTGCAAATAGGCTTTTGTGAAGTAGCTGTCATGTTTTCAAGTGAGATGTCACAGGCAATTCATTTATTCATTCATATTGAGAACCTGGGTGGGAGCGTGGTAAAGGGAATTAAGAGTTTGTACCAGACAATGCTAAATCTTTTCCTTTTTAGACTGTAATCAATATTATTTTTCCTCAAAAATATATGGCTAGTTTTTGAACAACTTCTGAAAACACCGACAAAGTACAGTGTTCATCCAGTCTAATATTTACCATTTACGGTTAAATATTTTTGCTATGCGAAGCAACCAATCAATCACCAATATGGAAATCAGTGGGAAGCAATATTTTCATCCTCCCATGCACTGCACAGACTTTAATCCCATGATTAAGTTTGTAATCTAAAGCTAATTCTCTCTGAGCTCCGGTCTTAAGTGTCGCCCTGGTAGCAAAGCTGCACTGGGAATTTCACTATAATTACAAGCCTCAGAAGTAGGGCCGAACCAGCTGACATCATTTAAAAATGATTTGCCTCCTTTCTTTCAGTTTTCTACCCATTTCATATGATGTCTGTATGATTTTGCACAGAGCCAAGAAAACACAAAAGATTCAAAAGTGGACCAGTTGTGTCTGAAATTGTCTCTATTTAAAAAGAATTATAATGTCTATGTACTATTGTCTGACTTAGTATAGTATATAGTATGGTAGTTAAGTTTGTTATTTTTTTCCTTTTCTTTGGGTGAAAGACCTCTAAATCTAAGGCAAAAGCCTTTTAATTCATCCTCTTCAAAGATGGATGGTCTTGTTAGGTCTTGCAGCCTGGTTGGTTAGTCTTTACCGTAAACATGGAATTAGTGTATTCTGTTATATGCATGTTTGCATGTTAAAAGAACCCATCTATTTCAGTAGGCTTACCTGACAATCACTCCACCTTACTTCACAACCAGGTATTTTTAAGGTACACCAAGAAACACAAAGCTCACCACAGTGTATTATACAGTCAGTGCTCAATACAACAAACAAAAATGCAGTGCAGTCACAAGATGTTTAGCGGAATCATCTGTTTCTGTGTTGTTGCCTATTGCACTTGTATATTATAAATACAAGAATGTGTTGCACAACTCCGGCACATTCTCTGTTAGCTGCCAAAGGGCATTCCAGGACATGAAGAAAATAAATTCTAATATATGGCTGGGGTAGGTTTAGAGAAAGCTGATTCACAAAAAGAAAATCCCAACAGTCCTGGTATGTGAGTGTCAGAGTACCCAAAAGTGAAAAGATTTCATTCTTTGAAATTTGAGTGAATTACACCTATTAAGGTTTGTATTTGGACAAATATGTTTTTCACTGAGCATCCTTGTTTTGGAGAGTAAATTCTCTCTCTGCTATTTTAGTTCTTACATGTTTACATGGGAGACACTGTACTTACTTCATGTGTTTGTGACCAAATGCCCTCTGTGTACACAAGTAGATTGTTTGGATCTCCAGGTCTTCACTTTCTTTGGTGCGTTACAGCTAGAATCAACTGTGTTTTTGCACTTTGTGCTCACAGTCTAATCAACCAGGACTACAAGGCTTGGGACAGTTCCAAATGGCAAGGTGACCTCTGTGTTGCCATTATGATTCAGCACTGATATTTCTATTTTATTTTTTGCCTTTAGGGGGCGCTGGTCACAGCCTGTGCAGATGACACGCTACATTTGTGGAATCTCCGTCAGAGACGGCCGGCTGTCCTGCATTCACTCAAATTCAACAGAGAGAGGTAAGCATAAATTCCACTAGACACACATCATGCACACACACTCCACACCTTGCTCCGGTGAAAGATGGATGCAACTGTGCTAGGTCAGCATGCACCATTTCACACAGGCAATCAGGGGTGACAAAACCCAATTAACTACCCCTCTACACAGTAATGACCATAAAGAGCCCTTTTAGAAATCTTGGATGCCACTAGGCAGTTCCCTCTGTGCTGCAATAGGACCCCTACCAACATCATATTCAGGACCACCCAGCATGTATAGTAAAGGCCTCCGGTCCATTAGTCAGCTGCAGCATTGGCAGCGGAAAGAGTTCTTCCACCAGGAAGACATATTTAATCAACTCAATCTAGAAGCCAGTGAAGCGGAGTGTTGACAGGACGAGGCCAGCTTTCTCTGTCCTGCCTCTGATCCTTTTTCACTTTGTCTGATAAACCTGAGAAGGAGGATTTTTGGCTAGAAGCTCTCTCTGTCGTCTCATCTTGTGACCCCTTCTGTGAGAGCAGACTTCCCAGTGGTTATTAGGCAGCTGAATCCATCTCCTTTGACATGTTGCCACCGCAGCCCCTGAGACACATCAGCTAGATTTCACATGGTTGCTACAAACTAGCATCAGTAGGGAGAGCTGGTATTTAACAAAAGATTCCTTATGGCAGCCTAGTCATACCTGGGCATGAACGTTGAATCAAATTTGTATCATTATAGGTCTGTCTTTCTGTCATACTTTATTGCCCTCTGGATATGAGGAAGTGCCACACCCTCAGTCAGTCAGCTGTCTCACACCCTGCATTGTCCATCTCCTCCTCGTCTGTAGGGTAAAAGGCGAGGAACAGGTCACAGTGTTTCCCACAGACTGTTTACAGACAGACTGTATCCCCTTAGAAAGTAATACATGTGACCTCCTAACTCCAACATGACTTAGGTAGGCATTAGACTTCCAATAAGATGGTTACACATATTTAAGCCAGTATATCATGTACCTTGTAGGAGGTACATTGTAGACTCCATAGGGACAGTAAAGGGATAAATATTGTGGACCAAGAGGGGATCTTGATATTTGATTTTGGCACAACATGGTGTTATCAGTCTGTACTGCTGCTGCCATTTTTGTCAAGCTCAGACACAGGAAAACAGGGATTTAGACCCAAATGCAGACACTAGGGCCAAGCAGGTACAGTTCGTGTTTATTTAAACCAAGTGATAACTGCAAACTGCAAGTGTTGGGCATATCCGTGAAAAACATTAGGCGATCAAGACAGAAAGGAAGCGAAGACGAGGACACCAAAGACAGACAACTTCAAAACAGGAAATACAAACACCAAAATCCCAAAACTGTGACACAAGTTTCAACAAACAATGCTGTGTAAGACTGTAAAATATCCTAAAACCTTCTACATCAATAGAGTTGACCGGCTCTCAAGAATTTCCATCACAGGATGGATGTGGTGAGCAAGGGCTTGGCTCTATTGCTTTTCCCCAGCAGAGATAGCTCAGTCTCAATCTCTGCTCTCCACCATGAAACTTTAATGGTAAACAATGGCCTCTTTATTCCTTGGGAAAACCTGTGGAGAACTGAAGTGGCTCTTCAGTTTCATTTCAGACTGGTCAGCAGATATTGCTTTCTTGTTGTTTCCATTTTGTCATGGCAGGGGTTGTAAGTGTTCAGGTTTGTAATGTCTGTATAAATAGAATAAATCTTGTGCATTGTACCTGCTCTAGTTATAGATGGAGCTCTTTAACGGGCTTCTTTGTCATACCACTAAATTCTCAACTTGGCTGTTGTTCAGCGAGTTTGTCCTCTCCTGAACAGCTGATTCTGTACTGTGATTGTGCTGATTGTGTAAGGTTTCAGTGCACAATCGGGCAATATTGTCAAGCCTATAGATCCCTGCATTAAGGCTTTGACTACTTGCAAGAAATAAGGCTTGCAATAGTATTGGGCCGAAAGACAATGCTGACAGATGGTCGATGGTTGAGCAGGTATCGTGATTGTGAAACTGCGCCCTCTGGCAAATGAAAATCAAAATTTTTTTACATAATACCGCCATGTGAAAGCAGGTTTTAATCACCACGACTTTTATAAATTTTAAATATGCTTTGCACCTATGTTCACACCTTCCTCGGAATTCTCTTCTCCCCACACTCCGACACACAGACAGCACAAGACCTACACCTCAGTGAAACACACCGGCTTGCCCAGTCTCTCTCTTTCTCCCGCCTCGCCCGTCTACTCCACTTTCTGCATCTGCAGTTTATAAAGCCTAAAAGACACAGAACTCCTATTTTTTCCGTATTTTTCAGTCGACTGTCATAGGTGTTATAGACGGTTATCTCGTTAACATATGGAGGACTGATCCTGACAAATTCAGAAATAAATACAGAAATAAATAAATGCTCAATAATAAATAAGCATCTGATTAAATGCACAAAAAAGTAAATAAATAAATGTAAGCAGTAATTAAATTATACAATGAGACATAAATGTATATATCTATTTTAATTAGCTTCGTAATTTATTCACCTTTGTAATTATTACCTTATTTATTTATTGTTCGTTATAATCTTCAGCTTTAGTTATTAATTACTTCTTTTTTAAATGTATTTATTTTTGTCTGTTTTATTCTTCCGTTGCATTTTCTACCCTATTTATTTCCCCAATGGTATTTATTTCTGCCTGTCCTTTTTACATTTCTCTATGCATTTCTGCCTCATTATGCAAATGAGGAGGGGCTGTGTCTCAAGGGGTGAACTTCTCTCCTATTGGTGGACCAGTCAGACGGGAGAGCTCTAGACCCTACTCTACCTGCACACATCAACAAGCTGCTCCTCACACAGTCAGAAGGCTTCCTTCAGTGCGCTGGGGAGGTGTTTAGAAACTGTATTTGAAGACACTACCAGCCATGTCCTCCTTCTTTTTCATGTGGACGCTCTGACCTACAGAGTTTTCATTTAGCAACTTATACGGACACAGAACTGCAGGAAAGTGAGCTGTTGTTTCTGAGAGCCACATCAGTTAGCCGCAGCTAAATCTGGAGTGCACTCCTATATGAGTATTTACGGTAAATGCTCACACACGCAGCAGCTCGTTGCTCTGCTCAGCTGATGTTTCAACAAAAACGCCACTGAGGGTGAAAAATCAACCGTGGTGTTGTGTCGGGAGATGCAGTGACTTAACCAGCGGTGAGTAAGAAACATTCTCAATAATACATGTAATTTGTTAAGCTATGAGGAGAGTAAAAGTCCGCTAGCCGCTAGGCTAATTTATGTAGCGTTAATATCATGTAGGCTAAAGCTCTTAGGCTAGTGGTGGTGACTAACAAATAAACTAACGTTAATCTTGACAGTTACCATTAAGAAGAATTTTATGCTTCTGTTAAATGTGATTGCTATTAAGCTGTGTTTTATGTGTGGTGGTGGAGTCAATTTAAAGTTAACTTTACTGCCCTTAACCAGTCGAAATGATTTAATGAAGGCTAGTTACTGTACTTCTATGTCTTGCACAGAAAACACAGGAGAAGGCATGCGGAGAACATAACCATATTCCTCAGAGGAAAAGAAGAAGAAGGAGGAGAGCAACAAAGAAAATAATCCCCCAAATAATAAAATAAATTCCTTTTATATTCCCCTTACATGCCTTGTTGTTTATGTGTAGATACAGAGGAAGAATGGGACACAGCACACATCTCATCCTTACTGTGTGGTAGAGCATGGGAGAACAGTGGATACTTTTAATACAGCCCACACCCCTAATATTTCTGCATAACTATAACAAGTGGAGAACATTCAAGATTTTTTACAGCTGTCTGCATAGTTTATTCATCTTGTGTAATGTGTAAAGAATACTGGGCTCCTCTCTACTTTGACATTTAAGATTAGCTTGTATTGGATCCACCTTCATACACATATGTGACATTACTGTACAACTTGAGAAAGGTGAGTTGTTTTCTGCTCCAGCCTGCCTAAAAGAAAACAATTTGGGGAATTAAATGGACTTTATTAGCTGCTGCAGTGCAGGATGAACTCAGAACAGACCCATTTCTCAACTTATTATTCTAAATCATGCAATGAAGAAGAAGAAATGCATAATAAATCCTGGGACAATATCTGTCCACAAATACTGTACAGCATGTAGACTAATGAACAAGCCTTGTGTTATATCTGACTTGGGCAGTGAAATGTTTAATTTTTTAATTCATGGGTCATAGTTGTCCATAACTCAAATCAGAATTTAAGGAGAAATGTTTTATACCATCTCAAGAAGACTTCCTATCAGAAAGGTAGGAAGGTACTTCAATGTACAACTGCAGTACTTAATCTATGTAAACTAATTTCCCTGACGTTGTAACAGTTTATACTTCCTGTGAATATAATCCAATTAATTTTCATACTGTATATCTGTTGTGTATTTGATAAATTTGTTGTATGTGGTGCTTGCATCGCGTACTATTGAGACTTCATTGCCCTCTTCAGATAAGACTCTCAGACTGCAACATGCGTCTTTGTAAAGAGAGAAACAGACAGAAAAAAGTCTAACTCTGCCTGTCAGCTCGCTCTGCTCGTTAAAACTGAATTTACCATACAGAATTGAATACGAGTGCACTCCAGATTTAGCTGTAGCTAGCTGACCATGTGGTTCTCCCTATACCGCAGTTCTGTGTCCATCCATGCAGCAAACTGAAAGCACTGTCTGTCGGAGCATCTACATGAATCTACAATGAAATAGAGTTCCTCTGCGCACTGAAGGAAACCATCCAACTGTGTGAGGAGCAAGCTTGTTGATGTGTGCAGGTAGAGTAGGGTCTAGAGCTCTCCCGTCTGACTGGTCCACCAATAGGAGAGAAGTTCACCCCTTGAGACACAACCCCTCCTCATTTGCATAATGAGGCAGAAATGCATAGAGAAATGTAAAAAGGACAGGCAGAAATAAATACCATTGGGGAAATAAATAGGGTAGAAAATGCAACGCAAGAATAAAACAGACAAAAATATTAAAACACACATA